CATTTCAATTTTCTTTGTATTTCTCACCCGTCTGAGTTGGTTATCGATGATGTGGGTGTGTGTACGGTTACAGCTAGATTTATTTTTAGGCTACATCGCTTATATATATCCTCAGTATTCGGGGTTTACTCTTGGTTGATTGGTTTTATCTATCCACTGTAGTGTTATTTCATAACGAGGTTTGATTGCGTTCAATTTTGTTTGTGTCGATCAGGTCTTTTCCTGTTTGGTCTCAGCACTTGTGTTCACTGTTGTACTTCATCCGTCTTCACTGGTAGATCCAATTGTTAGTTTTCGAAACATTTTTAGATGCGGAAGCATGTATGTGTAGATTGTGTATAATAAAAGTTTTCAAAAAACTGTTGAATACTCTATAAACTATATTAATTTATGCAATAATAAATTAATCATATTATTTTATAATGATAGATACCTAGCAAACGATTAGGCGGACAACTTGAGGTCTTTGACCACGAGCAGTCCTAGCTCCAAGCTTTCTCTAAAAGCCTGACTTTTTCTCGTCTAGTCCTTGAAATCTGCATTCCTCCATTATCAACATATGTATGTGAAGGAACTGGGAGTTGGAAGAACTTTGCTTCTCTTTTTCTCTCATGGGAATTTTAGCCACCCACAGTAAAGGGGAGCAAACATTCTCTACTCTAATTTTCTATTGTCTCCTATTTATAGAACACTAGGAAAATTCCCTTGCTTGAACTTGAAGACAAAGCAATAGAAAAATTGGTTACTACTATATTTTAATCTCATTAAAATACAGTTTCTCATTTAATTTTAGAAATAAAAATTCTCTATCTTCCCTCTACTTTATGGCCAGCCACACCAGAGGAAGACCTCCTTGTGGTTAGCGCAAATCTGCAATAGGAGAGAGAGAAAATTCCTCCTCTATCCAGTTTCCAATTTTAGCCCAAATTTAAATATAAATAAAGTGGTACTTCACTTTTCTTTTGAATTTGATTGTAAAACTTGTCAAATAAGTAAACCGGTGGAGAGCAAGCAACTGAATCCCAGTGGGATTATACATGTATCACACGCCCCTGCACATTCCTGTGCCTGGCTGTGTGACCTCCTATGGTTCTACTATAGTGTGTTCTAAAATTAATTTAATTAAATAATCAAATTATTTATTTCGAGTGATACATAATTCATCTTGTCTTGTAAATATTACAAGGATGACACGGGGACTCATGAACTTATAATTTTGAGCTCCAATAAAATTAATAATTAATTAATTAATTAATTCTATTAATTCTAAAAGTTACTCCACTAAAAACTTAGAATTGTACTCTTAAAATTATGGACATAATTTACTTCAAAGAACTTGAAGTGTCCATTTGATATAGTCACTACATATAGATGATCAATCCTCCATAAATAATTCATAATTAGAGCTAGGTAAAATCCGTTAACCTCTCTAATTACATCTTTACCCTTGAGTACCATTGATTCTCTAATGAATAGTATATTCATAAAATACATTCATGAATACGAGCTCGTTACTTATTCAAGTACCGAATCAACCCTTAAGGAAATTATTTTTATACTTCTTCAAAGTAGAAGAAATGAATTTCATCTCGTATATTAGCATTCCCGACTATCCATTTCATTATGTTTTCAAGATACAAGGAATATGATTTAGGATCTCAAAATCCATACCGAGTAAGTAAAAAAACACAAATCTTAAGATCATTCCATATATAACCATCGATAGACTCAAATTTAATTTTCTATAATTAACAAAAATTATCATAAAATAAAATTGTGTCTGTGTCTCAGTTCTACATAATCTTATTATTACGCATAATATAATCATTCAATATCCCTCTATATTAATGAAGCAGATAACACCATTCCATTCTTAATGAGAATGACATGTATTAGTAATGTTTTAATTAAATATTCCAGAACTTTAATTGAATTCATTACCAACATTATTTTGATTATTATCCTTAAATATTATACT